ATATATATTAATGCTGTGGTATTATCATAGTTTTTGCATGTGCAATGGTAATACCTTGTTAAGTAAATATAAGAAATTAGTTATTTTCAATCAGTATTTAGAAATAGTATTTTAACATCCAATAATACTTTTTATATACCATAAATATACCATAAATCTGGTTAAGTAAGGATGCATTAAATTGATAAAAGGTGAAGATGTTTATAATGTTACAAAAGATTTCTATTTCAAATAAATGCTGTTCTTTTGAACTTTCTATTCATTATTGTCCTATCCTAACAAACCATACATCAATGGAAAGATTATTTATTCAGCTTGCAGGTGATGTACAAATCTCAATTTTGGAAAAGTTACACTTATGACTGGTTTTGTGCTCCAGGGTTACATATAACAATGTTTTTAGGTTTAACAAAATCTGAAAAAATTATATACAGTAATTTCTTTTCTTTCACAGACTCCCAAGGATGGTAAACTGTCCAGCAATAAAAGCTGTCTTCCATTTTTCCGTTCTTCACCCGCCTGCATTAATGTCCAGACAGACGTGCGTCCCGCTGGACAACGACAGCAGATGAATTCAGTCACGTCCTTCATCGACGCATCGACCGTCTACGGCCCTTCGGCAGATCTGGAGAAAACCCTGCGAAACCTGTCTAGCGCTGAAGGTCTGCTGGCCGTCAACAGTGAATACAGCGATGACAGTCGGCCATATTTGCCCTTCGTGTCCGTGCAGCCATCAGCGTGCCTCCAGGAGCCCGGCTCAGAGCCGGCGGCGCGGGTCGAGTGCTTCACAGCCGGTGACAGCAGGGTGAACGAGATCCTGCCCCTGTCTGTCCTGCACACGCTCTGGGTGAGAGAACACAACCGGCTGGCCGAACACCTGACACGACTCAACCCTCACTGGGGGTCAGAGGTCATCTACCAGGAGACGCGCAAGATCATCGGGGCGCTGCATCAGGTAACAGACACACCGCCACACAGCGAGAAAAACTAGTTTAACAACTAGCTCAAAAAAATACAATCTTTTTATTCATTTGCAATGAATAAATAAAAAGCAATAAATAAAAAATAAATACAATTTATATTAATGTATCGTTTATATTTAATATTTAATATATCTAGCAACACGTTTAATCTGTAATAGTTAATATATATATATATATTGAGCAGCAAATCAGCATATTAGAATGATTTCTGAAGATCATGTGACACTGAAGACTGGAGTAATGATGCTGAAAATACAGTTTTGATCACAGAAATAAATTACAGTTTAACAGAGATTCACATAGAAATCAGTTATTTTAAATTGTAATAATATTTCACAATATTACTGTTTTTACTGTATTTTTTATCAAATAAATGTAGCCTTGATGAGCATAAGAGACTTCTTTCAAAAACATAAAAAATGTTTCAGACTCCAAACTTTAGTATAAAAAATAAATACAAATTATTTGGTTAGGATGGATAAACATCATAGTTTGTCTTTTTGGTTGAAATTCACAGGAAAGGTTTTCCTCACATCCTATCATCAAAACGTATAAAACGTAGCAACGTAGCAGTATTTTAACACAAATTGTTTCTTTGGCGCAATGAAACTTTGGCTTCACAAGAATATGTATGCAAAATATATTCCATAAATTACTTCTGCCTGACAAACGTGACCTCTGATGGGCAATTACTGATTCTGAACATCTCATTGTCTCGGCTGACCAAAAATCACACATCAGCAGAAGATAAAACCGTCAGTTCTGCTACACACAGTACTGTCAGATCTGAATCTGACGCATGTTTTCACCTGTGCTAAACACTGAAGAGCTAATTATGTCTGCTTGACAAAGCCAGCATACTGAAATACTGTTTAAGCAGCTGCTGCTGCTTCTTCTGTACCTTTTTTAATCAGACTTACGTTTTTCGTTAAAGGGGTCATATGATGCGATTAAAATTTTTCCTTTCTCTTTGAAGTGTTACAAGCTGTTGGTGCATAAAGAAGATCTGTAAAGTTGCAAAGACTAAAGTCTCAAATCCAAAGAGATATTCTTTATAAAAGTTAAGAGTCAACCACGCCTACCTAAAACGGCTCGTTCTAACACGCCCCCACATGTCTACGTCACGATGTGGGAAGATTTGCATAAACATTTCATTACACCAAATACACAAAATAATGTTCTTTTTAAAAGCATCATATGACCCCTTTAAACAGACGATCAAAATGACAAAAAGTCCCATAATAGACTTTTAATTGAGGCGGTGAAAACTTTTGTACAATAACATGAGTATAAGCTGTCTAGCATTAGCAAAGCTTAACGGCTATAATAGGACAACATGCTAAAGCGTGCTAGAATCATGTTATCAATGTGCAAAATCATCCTAGAAACATGCTATCAACATGCTAATGGCGAATTCCAAATGGCTTTTTTGCGCCCTTGAAGGGCACTTCGGGAAGGGGACGCCATTTGTAGGGACATTCCAAACGAAAGTGAACAACTGAATCCCTTCACGAAGGGCCCTTCCAGAAGTCCGTTAGTGAAGGGAACAAGCGATGGTCACTTCACGGAAGTGATTTCCGGTTGTGATCATGTGATCTTCAGTTAGGAGATCTTGCGACACATTTTAAAGCAAATATGTGGTTGATTTCGACACAAATGTAAGTAGGATAGGCTAATTAAATTTTAATTTATTTTAAATTTATTTATCTTTATTTTAATGTAATACAAAATATTTTTCATCAGAAATATTATTTAAGATGGTAGTGTAAGCAAGTTTAAGCAAGTTTAGTTTGAAAAAGCTTAATAGTAAATAAGACACAATTAGACAATATTTGAATAAAATAATAATAATGAGAAGAAATATATATTTGCAACAACTGATGGAGTGCTGAATGCGGCACACACACGCAGCGTTGTCAAGGTAATATTTGGTCAGTCATTCCCTTCGCCAAGGGAGCCCCAAACGCTTATACAGTAATTCCTTACACCCTTCAAAGAACACACTTCAAGGGCTCTTCCCTTCGAAGGGAGTAGGGCATAGGGATGCTCACTTCCGTTTGGAATTCGCCCTAAATCTTGCTATCCATGTGTTAAATCATGCTTGAAACATATCAACGTGCTAAATCATGTTGGCAACATGTAAAACATGCTAGCAATGTGCTAAATCATGCTAGCAACATATTAAACATGTTAACAACATGTTAAAATATGCTAGCGATGTGTAATCATGTAAGGCAGTGGTTCTCAACCTGCGGCCCGTCACGAATTCAAATGCGGCCCACCATGCTGAACACAATTTAAAAAAAAAACACTTTCAGTTTTACAATTCATTTTAGTTTTACATGCTGACGTAATATGTAAATGATATGCGTGCGGCCCGGTGGAAAAAAAGGTTGAGAACCACTGATGTAAGGAATATGTTAAAACATGTTAGCAACGTTCTAAATCATGCTAGCAACATCTAAAAATGCTAACAATGTGCTAAATCATGCTATCAAAGTGTTAAAATGGTAGAAACATGCTACATGCTAAATCATGTTTACAATGTGTTAAATCATGCTAGAAACATGCTAACAATGTGTTAAATCATGTTAACAATGTGTTAAATCATGCTAGAAACATGCTAGCAATGTGTTAAATCATGCTATAAACATGCTAGCAATGTGTTAAATCATGCTAGAAACATGCTAGTAATGTGTTAATGTTAACAGTGTGTTAAATCATGCTAGATACATGCTATCAATGTGTTAAATCATGTTAACAATGTGTTAAATCATGCTAGAAACATGCTAGCAATGTGTTAAATCATGTTAACAATGTGTTAAATCATGCTAGATACATGCTAGCAATGTGTTAAATCATGCTAGATACATGCTAGCAATCTGTTAAATCATGTTAACAATGTGTTAAATCATGCTAGATACATGCTAGCAATGTGTTAAATCATGTTAACAATGTGTTAAATCATGCTAGATACATGCTAGCAATGTGTTAAATCATGTTAACAGTGTGTTAAATCATGCTAGAAACATGCTAGCAATGTGTTAAATCATGTTAACAGTGTGTTAAATCATGCTAGAAACATGCTAGCAATGTGTTAAATCATGTTAACAATGTGTTAAATCATGCTAGATACATGCTAGCAATGTGTTGAATCATGTTAACCACATTTCATTGATTTTGAGTAAAATCTTCAAACTTCAAGCTTTTCACATTTTTATATATATAAAAATAAAAATGAGAAATGTTGTCTTGGCAACTATTTTCCTTAAATATTTTTTTGTTAAATTTTATTTAAAAAATGTTGATCACATACAGTTTTTTTTTCTTCATAAAATAAGAATGAAGATTTTTATTCTTAGGTTTTTATATAGTTTGTCATTAATTTTTATTTCAGCTTTAGTTATTTTAATATATCAGTTTAAACTAAAAGGAAATAAGAAATATTGCCTTGGCAACTAGTTTTTATATATATTATATTTTTATATATATTTGTCTTTTGCAGTCATCATGTACAGTTTTTTTTCCCCACAAAATAAGAATGAAGATTTTTATTCTTAGGTTTTTATACATTTTATTTCAGTTTTAATTATATTACTACATCAAGTAACCTAAATTAATATGAGAAATGTTGCCTTGTCAACTAGATTTTTCATATTTTGTTTTTGTTAGTTTGTTTTATATATGTTTTATAAAGTACTAAAATTGCTTTTTATTTTATTTTAATTAGTTAATGTTTTAATTATTTCTTTCCTTAACCTGAGTATATTTCATCACCAAATAAGGTTATATATAATTCATGTTATGTTGTGATGCAATAAAATAAGTAAAACATACTTAAAAAAGCGTATTTTTAATGCAAATATAGCTAACATAAAATATACATTTTAAATTGAAAACTTAAAAAATTGAGATGTTGGCTTGGCAAATAACTTTAGTTAAAGTTGAACTACTAAAATTACTAAAGCTAAAACTGAAATAAAAATAAATTATGTATTTATTCATTTATATATTTTATTTAGTGATATATAGTTATATTTATTTTTTTATTGTTTTTAAAAGCAAAAATGCTACAAATGCACATATTTTGTAAGAAAGTGTGACATGCTCGAGTAAAACAGCCACAAGTTTTGACATCAGCACCCAAAAATTATTAAGAAACTTGGATTTCATTCAGCAAATATGATGCAGCATGGTTTATAAATGAGTTTTTGAATGCACTTAAACCATTAACCTGATGAATGTGGCGGCATCACTTCATTTCGACCAGCAGAATCAGATCCATTCTGTGTCAGACAGACAGAAAAGCAGATTCGCCGCACTGGGCAGAGAAGAGATTCAGGGATTAAAGGCCTCGAGGTGTGGAAGTAAAGCCCTGGTCCTTTCCGAGCGGCCCTCGCCGAATCGAAGACACATTTGATGGCTCGCACAAGCACCGGCTCCCTGAATTAAAGTGACTCTAAAGCAGTACAGAAGCCATGGAAATGGCACACATCAAACGGAGCGCAGTGTTTTAACAACGTCCCGCAGGGGCCGACTTCACACAAGCAGTAAAAACAGGTTCCAGTGCTGCACTTTTACGGACAGCGGGTTTAATTTAAACGTCCCTCTGTGGAGGGCCTGCCGTCAGTCAGACACGCTTGTGAAACATCTCTGTGTGGAGGACGTCGCGCTTCTCGAGGTGAAATGCTGGACTATTTTCATAAACAGCGATAAGATGGAATAAATTTTAGAGGCGCATCACAGAGAGAATGAGCCACACGATCTCATCTTATCTCCAGGCACAGGACGTCCCGAATCAGCATCTCACACAAAATCTGCAGTTTTGTGAGAGATGCTGCAATTTAAAAAAAAAAAAAAAAAAGCATATTTATTAGTGCTGTCAAACGATTAATCGCGATTAATCACATCCAAAATAAAAGTTTTTGTGCACATAATATAGGTGTGTGTACTGTGTATATTTATTATGTATATATAAATACACACACATGCATGTATATATTTTGGAAAAATATGTTATGTTTATATATTAAATCTGTTTGTATATAATATAAATTATATGAATATAAATATATACATGTAAATACATGTACATATTTTCAAAATATATACTGTATGGGTGTGTATTTATATACACATAATAAATATACAAAGTACACACATATATGTTATGTAAACAAAAACTTTTATTTTGGATGCGATTAATCGTGATTAATCGTTTGACAGCACTAATATTTATTAATTGCAATAAAGCTGAAACTTAAAAAATAAAAATTAAATAAAAGATCTAAATGTTGGCTTGGCAACTAACTGAAATAAGTATTAAAGTACTCAAATTATTAAAACTAAAACTGAAATAAAAAATTTATTAAACCTTTTTTTGTTGTTGTTTTATTCTTTCTTTCCTTGGTCTGTGTAAAACTCATCACAAAATAATGACGTATTTCATTCATATTATGTTGTGAAGCAATACAATAAATAAAATGAAACGGTATAAAATGTGTATTTGTTAATTAAAATAAAGCTGACATAAAATATAAATATTAACTAAATATTAAATGGCTTAGCAACTACTAAAATTAAAACTTTTTTTTCTATTCTTTCCTTAACCTGCATAAAATTAATCACTAAATAAGGTCATATATAAGACATGTTATGATTGTTATGATGCAATTGAATAATTGAAATAAAATAAAATAATAACATTAATTTAATTTAAATTAAATTACATTAAATTCAATATTAATATTAAAAGGAAAACTGAAATGTTTAAAGTTGAAGTACTAAAATTACTAAAACTAAAACTGTTTTGTTTGTTTGTTTTCCTTAACCTGTATAAAATTAATTACTAAAGGTCATAAGTAATGTTATGATTATTAGGATGCAATAAAATAAATAAACAAATTGTTTTTGTTAATTTAAATTAAATAAAGATGACATAAAATATAATATAAATATTAAATTAAAAACTGAAATAAGTTGAAGTTGAAGTTACTACAATTTTATATATATATATATATATATATATATTTATATTAAAATTAAATTACTAAAACCAAAACTGAAATAAAAAATAAATGATAGCTAAATAGAATTACTAGAAGAAAAAAAAACTAATAAAAATGACTAAATTGCTAAAACTAAAATGAAAACTGGAAATATAAAAATAAATACTAATACTTAAAATATTAAATAATGCTGTATATAAATAATAATTCAATAGCACTGCCAAAATGGCAGATAAAGCAAGAGAAATGATCATAAATACTCTTTATGTTATTTAGTACTGAAAATATCAATAAAAATAGTTTAGTCTGATTAAAATTGTATTTTTTAGCCAATATTTGTGTGCACTGTGTATGCATTATATTTTTTAGCGTATTGTGTCATTAGTTTGGCAGCATATTAACTCTGTTGGACTTCATGGTGAGTCTTTATGAAGCATTATTCGAGTATGTTTTACAAGAAAAAAATTTTTTTTCAGTCTTTCTACTTCAAAATGTCATGTTTAATTCAATGCATTACTGGCCATTTCTTTGTAATTACTTGTGAAATTTACTAGCAATTTCAGTGACAACAAGGCAGCTCACTAGGTTTTGTAAAGGAGATACTGATTGACTCTTGATATTGTTGTTCCTGCAGATCATAACCATGAGAGACTACGTTCCCAAGATCATGGGTCGGGAAGCGTTTGATGAGTATCTCGGGCCGTACGCGGGCTATAACGACTCTGTGAACCCGTCGGTGTCAAACGTGTTCGCCACGGCTGCGTTTCGCTTCGGTCACGTGACCATCTCACCGCGGCTCAGGAGACTCAACGAGAGCTTCCAGGAACACCAGCGCTTCTCCTCTCTGAGCCTCCATCAGACCTTCTTCAGCCCCTGGAGACTCGTTAGAGAAGGTGCGCTCGGGCTTCAAATCAAACCAAACACTATCAGAGACTAATGACAATCTAGTTTAGCCAGACTTATTGCGGGTTAATCTGATCCATTTTGAGATCACACTCTTAATTTATTTTGTCTTGCTTTTAAAATATACAAATATTATATATAAATATGTATTAAATATATTATTAAATATTTAAAATATATCTAAAAATCATAGTTTGTATCTAATATAAAGTAGTTATTATGAGTGTATTTTGTCTTAATGCACTAGCAGATTTGGTAACTTGTTTTTAACTTTTACACTTACAGTATAAAAATATGAAATCTGCAGTGGTTGTTTAAAGAATTTTTAGATATTTTAACTGGAAAACAAGGCAAAAAGACTATGTAGAAACGTATTAAAAACTATGTGTTTGCAGTGTAGAGTTTGCAAGCCAAATTCAGTAACCAGTTCTCAGTGATAAATGCTCAAAGTAGCGGTCTATAAATATATATATATATATATACATTATAATAAATAAATTTAATTTAAAAAACAGGCAGTTGAGATTTACTATATAGTATATAATTTTTTTGTTACTTGAAATAAAATAAATCGTGAAATAAAATACAATATAATTTAACTTATTTTATTTAGAGGCAACATTTCACATTTTCATTTAGTTTAACTAAAGATGTACTAAAATAACTAAAACTAAAAATTAATTAAAAAAACTATATTCTAAATTGTTTATGAAAACCTTAAAAAAATTAAAACACTGAAATGTTGAAGTACTACAATTACTAAAACTGAAACAAAAAGAAATTTCAATTGCATAAGAAAAAAAAATATATATATTCTTTCTTTCCTTAACCTGTGTAAATATAATTGTATATGTCATGTTATGTTATGATGCAATTAAATAAATAAATAAATAAAACAAACCTAAAAAAAACTTGCCTTGGTAACTAACTGAAATAAGTTTAAGTACTAAAAATAAAACTGAAATAAAAAATAAATGATAGCTAAATATAAATACTCAAAAAAATACTAAATTTACTAAAACTGAAATAAAAATGTAAATGGAAAAATAAAAAAGTATGTTTTCACATTTATTATTTCAAGTAACAAAAATGTATATTCTGTATATATATATATATATATAGAGAGAGAGAGAGAGAGAGAGAGAGTTACATTATAGAGCTGATTGATGCAGACATGTCCAGGCAAGGGACAGAAATATTGAATATGTCAATAGTAAATAATTACTGCTGCTACTGACTGAGTCATTAATGAAGCACTGAATAATTCTCTCATTTGGTTGGTAACTGAATGATTTATAGTTTGAAGTTCAGATCAGTTGCACATCTAGAGGTCATTTTACTGAAAACATTGTTGTTTCTGTTTACCAGGGGAAATGAGGTAAGGAGCTTTTAGTCAGACTCTGTTTGTGGGATGGCTGGTGTTTGATAGCATGTTCTGCGCTCTACAGGTGGGCTGGATCCGGTCCTGCGGGGGCTTCTCGGTCGACCGGCTGCTCTGCAGAACCAGGAGCATCTCATGACAGAAGAGCTGAAGGAAAGACTGCTGGTTCTCAACATCCCAGAGACTCTGGATCTGGCTGCTCTGAACCTGCAGCGCGGACGAGACCACGGCTTACCAGGTCATTACATCAGGGTTATTACTGTTAAACTAAGCCATAGAGATATATATATATATATATATATATATATATATATATAAACTTTAACTGAAATAAAACAGAATACAATAAAATACATATATAAAAATAACTTTTTTTTTTTCAGCTATAGATTCCAAGGCAACATTTTCATTTAATAACTGGATGTAAAAAATAAATAAAATAACAATTTATTTAAAGGGGTCATATGATGCTGTTTTAAAGATCATTATTTTGTGTATTTGGTGTAACAGAATATGTTGACATGCTTTAATGTTCAACTGCATGCGTTGTTCGGTGTGTTCCTCTGTACTCTGAGGAGACTCTTACAGAACTCAGCATGCAGGGCTTCAATCGGATTTTTGTCCCATTTGTCGAATTGGTGATTTAGGAGAGGCCCCCACACTTCACTGCCATATAATGCAATAGATTCTATGACTGATTGGAATATTTTGAGCCAGATTCTAATTGGTATTTCAATTTGGATAGATTTTTTGATGGCATAAAAGGCCCTTCTTGCCTTCTCTCTCTCTCTCTCTCGCTCTCTCTCTCTCTCTCGCACTCTCTCTCTCTCGGTCTCTCGCGCTCTCTCTCTCTCTCGTGCGCTCTCTCTCGCTCTCTCTCTCTCGCGCACGCTCTCTCTCTCTCGCGCGCGCTCTCTCTCTCTCACGCTCTCTCTCTCACGCTCTCTCTCTCACTCTCTCTTGCTCTCTAATAAATTAAAACAAAATTACTAAAACTTTAAATAAAATTAAACATAAAATATAAAATTTAAAACTGATTCAAAACAGTGCTACTAAAATAACACAGGTCTGATTTCCTCAAAATGTTTCACTTATGTAATAATGCACACTGCTGTTTACTGACATACTTTAAATAAAATACACCTTAACTAAAAAAAATAAAACAAATTTTTAATTCATTTCAGCTACTTTCCAATGCAACATTTCTCATTTTCATGAAGTTTAACTTAATGTATTAAAATAACTAAAACTGAAATAAAAATTAATAAAAACTATATATATTTAAAAAAAAAATAATAAAATTGACAAAAACACGAAACTGCAAAAAAATACTAAGACTTTAAAAAAAATGTATGAATTAAAATGAAAACCTAACCTAAATAAAAACTGATTCAAGATATTTATAAAAACTATAATAATATCTCGATGATACTAAAATAGCACAGGTCTGATTTCCTCAAAATTACTTAATGTAATAAAATTACTACAACTGAAAAACAATAAATAAAAATTAAGATACTTAATCAGTAACCCTGCACTGATTTCCTCAAAAGAACAAAAGTATTATTATTGTTTAGTACAATTACTATAATTAAGTCTTTTTTAATATTTTTCAGTTGCATTTGAAGTCCAGTTAGAGCGACTGATTCGTTTAAGTGACTGATTATTTTGAGCAAATTAGTCAAAAAGACTCACAAATCAAATTCAAACTGAGTTATTGGTTTGCTTATGGTTCATTCGGATCAGTGTTTTGTAATCATTATTGGTTCTTTAATAAAAAATACTAATTATGAGTAATTATAAGTATTATTTTTGTTTAATATAATTATTATAGATTAATGGGTAACACTTTACAATGAGGTTCTACTCGTTAACAATAGTTAACTACATTAGTTAACAAACTAACAATTAAAAATATTTCTACATTTATTCATGTTAGTGTTCATTTACATTATTAAAGGCAAATTTTGCATCTGTTAATATTAATCAATAGACCTGAGACTTTTGAGGAAATCAGTTAAAAGTATATTAATTTTACTTTCAAAAAAATGTGTAACTTAATGTTTAATATTTTTCATTAGAGAAATGTTTATGATAACAAAACTCTGATCACAATGAGCCTTAAGCAAACTAATAACTCATTAGTTTGAAATTGATTCGTGAGTCGCTTTGACTGATTCACTCTAAAGAATCAGTTCATGAGAGTCGCATTAATTGAACTACGACTGCAGCTCTTTTGAACTGGAATAATTTTGTATGCAATTTCTACAGAACTTAAAGAGTATAATTCTTCGTCGTTACTATTATTTGGTATTTAATAAGCATGTGATCTGAAAACCTGAATCTGCTTGGTTGATCTATTACAGGTTACAATGACTGGAGGGCTTTCTGTGGATTTGACAGAGTTGAAACCAGATCAGATCTCGCTGAGCTGGTCGGCAGTGGTGTTCTGGTGGAGAAAATAATGGATGTGTACGGCCATCCGAACAACATAGACGTGTGGCTGGGAGGTCTGCTGGAGCGTCCGGTGTCCGGCGCCAGGACCGGTCCGCTGTTCGCATGCTTGATCGGGAAACAGATGAAGACTCTAAGGGAAGGTGACAGGTGCGCTCGCTGATGCTGCGTTAAACACGGTCTGAATCACGTCTGCAGTGACAGCAGAAACTGCTCAGATACAGTCAAAATACAGTCAAATGTCTAAAGATCCTTAAATCAATATACATTTCCTTGAGATGCAGAATGACATAAGATATTAAGTCTTGTTTGTGCGACTCTCGTGAATTGGATCTTTTGAGGGAATCAGTCAAAAAGACTCACAAGTCAAAATCAAACTAATGAGTTATTGCTTTGCTTAGGGCTCATTCGGGCCAGAGTTTTAAAAATTACGATAATTATTTCCCACTTTTTGACTGATTGCCTCAAAAGAAGCAGTTCATAAGAGTTGTAGTTGTGGTCCAATTAGTGTGACTCTCATGAACTGATTCTTTGTTGTGAATCGGTCAAAAAGACTCATGAATCAATTTCAAACTAATGAGTTATTGGTTTGCTTAGGGCTCATTCAGATCAGTTTTGTTATCAAAAATGGTTCTTTAATGAAAAAATTAAGCATTAAGATAAGTAAAAAAGTGTTTTAGTTTTGTAAAATTACTTTCTTAAAATTACTTTTGATTAGAGCAACTTTCATGAACTGATTCTTTTTTGTGAATCGGTCAAAAAGACTCATGAATCAATTTCAAACTAATGAGTTATTGGTTTGCTGAATGGTTTGATCTCATTCAGATCAGAGTTTTGTTATCATAAATGGTTCTTTAAGTAAAAAATATTAAACATTAGGTTGAATTAAAATTAAAATTAGAGTCTTTTTTAACTGATTTCATCAAAAGAACCATTTCTTAAGAGTTGCAGTTGTAGTTCAAATAGTGCGACTCTCATGAACTGATTCTTCTGAGTGAATCGGTCAAAAAGACTCATGAATCAATTTCAAACTTAACTTAATTTTTCAGAGAACAAGACTTAATATTTAATAATTTTGCTTTCAGTGTTTAGATATTTACACTGGAAAACAAGACAAAATACTGAATAAGGAAATCATTTTTGCAGCGCAGTTTTATTTTGCGTCTGTTTTTTTTTGTGTGTGTGTGTGAAATGATTAACTTAGTCTGAGTTCGTCAAAATGTCAAGAATAAGACATCGCATCAGTCAAACTGTTGATATTTCTGTTGTGTGTTTCAGATTCTGGTGGGAACATCCTGGTGTGTTTTCCCCAAAGCAAAGACAGGAACTCCAAACCCACTCTCTGTCTCGTGTCATCTGTGACAACAGCGGCGTGACGGAGGTTCCCCTCGATCCGTTCAGACTGGGATCTTACCCAGAGGACTTTGTGTTCTGCGGGAACGTCCCATCAATGGACCTGGAGGCGTGGAGGGAACGAACTGATGACGGTACATATATGACATGATGCTTGTGTATTAGGGATGGCTTTTTTGTTAAGAAGTCTCTTCTGCTCTCCATGACTGCATTTATTTAATCAAAAATACAGTAAAAATTGTGAAATATTATTACAATTTAAAATAACTTTTATTTTAGAATATATGTAAAAATGTAATTTATTTCTGTTATCAAAGCTGTATTTTCAGCATCATTACGCCAGTCTTCAGTGTCACATGATCTTCAGAAATCATTCTAATATGATGATTTGCTGCTCAATATTTTTGTGGAAATTTTATTATTCAGGATTCTTTGATGAATCGAACGTTCAAAAGAACAGCATTTATTTGAAATAGAAATCTTTTGTAACATTATAAATGTCTTTGCTGTCACTTTTGATCAATTTAATGCATCCTTATTGAATAAAAGTATTCATTTCCTAAAAGGAAATCTCTTCCCGACCCCAAACTTGAACAGTACTGCATGTGCAAATAAAAATTTATATTTTAGATCATGTAACTTGTTAAATTTAATAATTTAATTAACTTTCTTTTCCTTCACAAGTTCGCTTTAAATAGTCCTGAGGTGTGACATGAATTTTTAAAACTACAAATATTTGATGTAGCCTCTCGGTTAATTTTAACTCATAAACACGGCATGCATAATAATGATCTAGCAATTAGAAATAGTTTTGCATTTTTAAATGAAGCAAAGCATGTAAAGCATGTGTGTTTGCCGTCTAAATGCAGCTAAACTCTGCTGTGGAGATTCATGAATAGCAAAGAGTCTCTATGAGGAAAAAACACATGCAAATTCACGCAGTAAGTGAATGAGTAAAGTGGCTTGTGTTTAAACTGCAGTGCTCAAACCTCATTCGGTCCCAGGTGAGACGTGGAGAAGTGGTTTTAAACCCAGTGTGGCAAACTGATGGTTCTATGGTTATAGTGTTTGCGTCATCCAAACTTCTCAAACACACATATCACTGTTTGAATCTTAATGAGAAATCTGTTATTTTTGCTAACCCATACAGCAAAAAAAAAAAAAAAAACTTTCATGTATATTTGACAAAATTAAAAAAAATATATAAGCATTTAAAATATATTTTGCCATCCATATATTTCAATCCAAGAAAATACATCAATTTGAAGAACTTTATTTGTGGTCTGTAACACATGTGAACATATAACACATCTGAATAAAAATCAGCAAGGAAAGTACTTTACAATGTTCCCAAAATTACAAGATTACAATATATGAAAAAATTATTTGATAATGTTTGTTTGATCTCTAGTATGCTAATTCACTCATTTGCATTTAGCCTCTCTATAGGCAACTCATTTTCCTGAAATAATTGTTTATATATATATATATATATATATATATATATATATTGGTATATGAAAGTTGAAACTAAATATATTTTCTATTTCAAATGGATATTTCACTGACCTTCATTGTTTAACATATATTTAAAATATTTTTATGAACTAAATATATATTTGCTGTGTGGGAAATGTTAACATTTGGATTTGGTTATGTGTCATGTTGTAATAATGGATTGTATTTTAATTAAAATACACAAATGTTAAAAAGTTTGGGGTGAGTGATTTATTTATTTATTTTACAATAAAGTAATACTTTTATTCAGCAAGGACAGATTAAATTGATCAAAAGTGACAGTAAAGACATTTATAATGTTACAAAAAAAATTATATTTCAAATGAATACTGTTCTTTTAGACTTTCTATTCATCAAAAAATCCTGGAAAAAAAAAAGATTCAGCAGTACAACTGTTTTCGACATATAATAATAATCAGAAATGTTTCTTGAGCTGCAAATCAGCATATTAGAATGATTTCTGAAGATCATGTGACACTGAAGACTGGAGTAATGATGCTGAAAATTCAGCTTTGATCACGGGAATAAATTACATTTTAACATATATTCACATAGAAAATAGCTTTTTTAATTTTATTTTAATAATATTTCACAGTTTTTCTATTTTTACTGCATTTTCGATCAAATAAATGCAGCCTTGGTGGGCAGAAGTGACTTCTTTAGAAAAAATGTGAAAAATCTTACAGACCCCAAACTTTTGAAAGATAATGTAGATCCAATAACCGTATTCTTACATATATCTAGATATCTAAAGGGCTAGTGGCAGATATAATGCTGATATATACAGTATCTCACAGAAGTGAGTACACCCCTCACATTTTTGTAAATATTTTATTATATCTTTTCATGTGACAACACTGAAGAAATGACACTTTGCTACAATGTAAAGTAGTGAGTGTACAGCTTGTATAACAGTGTAAATTTGCTGTCCCCTCAAAATAACTCAACACACAGCCATTAATGTCTAAACCGCTGGCCACAAAAGTGAGTACACCCCTAAGTGAAAATGTCCAAATTGGGCCCAAAGTGTCAATATTTTGTGTGGCCACCATTGTGTACTCACTTCTGTGAGATACTGTACATAAAAACCAAGTCACATCTAGAGACCAGGACTCTTTTACCTTCAGACAGTAAGAAACCACCTATAAACCTCAGTAACGGCTCTGGTGACCGTCAGCACTGCGGCGGATGTTTGTTCCCGTTCAGTAATTCGGGTTTGTTCACACAGACATCACTGGGCCACAGGCTGTTGGATGGCAGCCGCTCGTGCAGCGTATTAACAATCATTTTCAATGTGTTGGTGGCTCCTCGGAGCCTGTAATTCTCCCAGCGCCGACGTTTGTAATCTCAGCGCTGGAATGCAGCCCACTGACAGATATTGATCCATTATGAGGCTGCGACGCTGCCAAAACAATTAATGTTAGCAGTCGCACCTGTTACGTGCAGGGAAATTAATCTTTCTAATGAATATTAGACGAATCCCACGGTGCGAGCGCGAGTCCGAGAGAAGCTCCCGCAGCGAGTGAGTTTCCACATCGTGCCAGATATAGAAAGCGGGTTTGCATTAGATTGGACTCCTGACATCACGGGTCCCGACCCCTTCCCAAGCCATCTATGGTGTTTATTCAATCCTGAAGCTGGAGCTGCCTCTGAAATCGACTGCTGTCAGCTCAGATAATGTCTTCTGGAGGAGATCGAGTGTGTAAACGGTCCTCAGGGCATCGATGGCACACGAGTCCCACATCATAACAACAACAACAGCAATGCCTTTCACCAACAGGATCAGGCTGATGTTCTCCATGGGATGGGTTACTTTAATACAACACCAGAGATGGCCTTAACCACGTCTTGAACACTGGGGAGGACCAGTTATTTAATTTTTATTTAAAAGGCCCCAGTTGTAATGGTCTTTTTATTTAAAGGAATTATATAAAAGATTTAAAAAGATAATTGCGACTATTTATCTCACAATTCAGACTTTTTTCTTGCATTTCCGAGAAAAGAAACGCAGAATTGCGAGATATATAAACGCACAGTTGCACAACATAAACTCAGAATTGCAAGATATAAATGTAGAATTGAGAGATATATAAACACAGAATTGCAAGATATATAAACACAGAATTGAGAGGTATATAAACGCAGAATTGCACAACATAAATGCAGAATTGCACAACATAAACTCAGAATTGCAAGATATCAACAGAATTTCAAGAAACAAAGGCAGAATTGCGAGATATATAAACAGAATTGTGAGATGTAAATGCAGAATTGTAAGATAAGAACAGAATTGCAAGATATAAATGCAGAATTGCGAGATATAAATGCAGAATTACGAGATATATAAATGCAGAATTACGAGATATAAATGCAGAATTACGAGATATAAATGCAGAATTGCGAGATATATAAATGCAGAATTATGAGATATAAATGCAGAATTGCGAGATATATAAATGCAGAATTATGAGATATAAATGCAGAATTGCGATACAGGTGCACTGCCCATCCATTGAGCTGAACTGAAATGGTACAGATCGGTTGACGGAGAGCGAAACTCTCAAGCGCTCAGTGTTCAGCGAGTGAAAATATATCTGTGAAACTTGTAATTAGCCTCTCTCACACACACACTGGTGAGTAAAATTGAAGAATTTATTAGCCAATGGCTAATGTTAGACATTATTTCGTCGCCCGGAGTGAAGATTTAGTCACACATGGGAGTGATTTACTCGCAATGTAGAGGGTTGGCAGCCTTTTTTTTTTTTTTTTTGCTGTGGTTCCCGGGGAGCAGTTGTGGGTTTGGTGCTCAAGGGTCTCACCTCAGTCATGGTATTGAGGGTGGAACCGAGACTCAAACCATTAGGCCACGACTGCAACATTTACCTTATTTATTTACCTATTTCATGGTGGAAACTAAAAAAACAGAATGGCAAGATATAAATTCAGAATTGCAAGAAAAAATATGAAATGCGATATATAAACAGAATTACAAGATATCAATAGAATTGCGAAATATAAATGTAAATGTAAATGCAGAATTGTAAGAAATAAATTCAACTTTGCATCACAGGAATAAATTACATTTAACATATATTAAAACAAAGAACAGTTCTTTAAATTATAATATTTCACAGTATTGATCTTTTTACTGCTGTTTTTGATGAAATAAATGCAGCCTTAAGCAGAGCATAAGATACTTATGTACTTTTTTTTCCCCCCATATGCCTAATATGGAAAACGCACAACGGAAAACACATTCGTAACATTCAATTACTGGTACATGAATCATGCAAATGACTATATGATTTTCAAGATTTTCAAGGTCAAGTATGCAAAAAGTTTTTTTTTTCAATCAACTGTTCCATTTAAAAAATGGGTAAAAAAATTCTGACTATTATTTCATATGTCAGTTCAGTAATGAATTGACTTTTTTTCTCTGCAGACGTGAGACTCTGACGGTGTTTTAGCACACAATGACGCGCCGTTAGAGAATAAAGAGCTGCTGAACAATGTAGAGGAACAACAGGACGCCGCACAGGTCTGATGAATCATGACCGGCCCATTATGCCAAATATAATACAGTACTGCAGGCCCTAATTAGTGATGGATTAATATTCTTTACTCAGACCTGCCTCATTCTCTAACTGCACAGAAGCAATTATCAGTGTACTGTACCATCTGAAAGCAACTAGTTATGAATATGCGCTCAATGCTGAAGCAAAGAGCAGTTGTGCTGCTTGTGGCTTCATGTAAAATGCATTTACTGATAGAAGTGTATTAAATCACTGTATGTTGAGTAATGCTAGTTCACTGTCATATCTGCTTGTAAAAACTGAAATATAAATGCAATAAATGTCCATTTACCAGTTTTGGTTTTAATTCTCCTGATTACTTTGACAGTACATGTAGTTCATGTATATTTATTTAAACTCATTATATACTTATTGCATTATATACTCATTTCATGTCCCATATGTACCAGGGTTATTATAGGTAATTAAAAATAAAACCATTTTTTGCTTGTAACAGTGTTAAAATTGTAAAGTTTTAATATTTTGAATCTGTTTTTCTTTTTATAATTTATGTTTTCATTTTAATTATAGCGTTTTAGTAATGTTTTTTTCAATATTTAGTATTTATTTTATATATAGTTTTTATACATTTTTATTTCAGTTTTAGTTTTAGTTATTTTAGAACATCACACTAAACTAAATCATTCAAACTCAAAGCAAAGGCGTTTATTCCAGTGACCCTCCCGTGCTAATAAATGAACACAACTCTATTCAAACAGATGGAGGCCACATTTGCATTTTAAACCTGAAATTAAACTCTTTGACGAGGACAGGCTGACACAAATAGGCGTCGCATTTGCATTCAGCCATATCTCGTCCCGGTTTTCTTTTAGATAATGGAATACAAAAGCAATCAGTTCTGGAAAACGAGACGGCTGGAATGAAATTAAACGGAGGCTTTTAGGCGATTTCTGATGTGCTGACGTCTCTCTCCTGTTCAGGCTAATTCAAAGCAGCGTTTGTAGCGCGAGGCTCTTACGGCAGTCTCAGCGTTTCCACACTCTTCATTACAGCAGATCTGCACTGATTCACTGTAAAAACAGCACAGCGTTTGCCTTTAGAAAATGCATTTGTGATATACTATAAAAATGACATGTGCAGTTACTTCAAGGATCTTTCTGCCTGATCTGAGCAGTAAAACGTCAGTGTATTTATCAGTTAGCTTATGGAGTCCAGTTCATTTAAGCTTCAAACATAAATGCAAATGCTTCACAAGCACCATTTCACACCATTGTGTTGCATTATGAACTGCGTTCTGACACAAATACACACATTCTGACATGCTTCCAAGAAAAAAAAGTGATAAAAACAACAAAAAACAGGATATTCAATTTAAAATAATAATTAAAAAATGATCAATTTCATTATTTGGATGGTGAACGGTGATGGGTGAAATTAATGGCTTTCCCAAAAAGGAAAGTTGTTTCAGAAGTTAAATAAAAGTTACATTTTGATTTTATTTATTTGTTTATTTTTTTTTAAGTAAACCTTTTTACTGTACTTTTTGGCAATGTGATGTAACTATATGTGAACTTGGTAATGTAAATATATACTGTATATATAAAGTAGCCACTTCGCACAATTGCATATTAGACATCAAATATATAAAGTAGTATTGTTCATTTTAAATTTTTTGAAGTTGATTTTTTCACTTTGAGTTATTGTTTTTTATTTCTAATTTTAGATTGTGTTCAATTGTTGTGTGCTTTTGACATTTTTATTAATTTCACATTTTTACTCAATATAGTTTAGTTGTAGTTTTTTTTTTTATTATTAGCTCTATTGCTTATAATATTTCTAGATTAATAGTCACATAACTGCATATAAAAATCAAGTATATACATTGTTATTTTAGTATCATTGATATACTATTATAGTTTTTCTTAATATTTTGACTTTTATTTTTATATTTCTGTTTTGATTAATTTTAGTTAAAGTTATTGTCCTTTTATTTTTTTTATATGTCTAGTTTTTATTAATTACATAACCTAAATCACATAACTGCATATTAAACATCAAATATATACAGTAGCAACACCTATTATATACTTTTATAGTTTTGTTAATATTTTGTATTGGACTTTATAATATATATTTTGTTTTCACTTTAATTTTATAGTTATGTTTTTATTTCAAATTTTAGATATTTAGATTTTCTTGTGTTTTTGTCATTTTTATTAGTTGTAGTTATTTTGTCTATATATGTTTTTATTAATTTTAATTTATTAGTTTTAGTTCAACTGAACAAAAATGAGAAAGTTTGCCTTGGCAACGAGCTGAAATAAAATAAGTTGAAGTTTTTATTGATTTTTTTTATTAGACGGTGAAAAGTGAGCGATGCAATTGATGACTTTCCCAAAAACAAAAGTAGTTTCAGAAGTTGAGCGAGTTACATTTTGATTTGTTTAACATGCACAGATGAATCATTCACATCAAGACCAGGAACATGAATTTAAAAAAGGGTAAAGAAACTCTAAATGAATTCTCCAGTATCTGCAGCTCAGAAGATCAATGCATGCAGAGCTCTGCGTATGGATATTCAGGGCTGTTTTCTGCAGTGAATCCGCCCTCAGGTTCCCACACGCTCCTAAACAATTTCTGTGAGAGGAGCATCATGATCACCGCTGACTCATCGCAACAAAGCAACACTCGATGATGATAAAGAGAAGAGCTGCGCTCGGTCCACGCTCTGACCAAACACACCCACACAGACTGAAGAAAGAAGCGGTCTGATTCTGATCCAGAATAT